TGTCCTCTGAGGGGGCGCGTTTTGCGGATTCGGGCTTATCGGATCCAAAAGTAGCTTTACGGAGTAATGGGAGGTTCGGAGGCGAGGATGACGATGGGGAAGGAGGTGAGGGTTGAACCGGCGGTGAGGCGGCATAGATCTCATCAGGTCTAATCTTGGGTTTTCGAAGGCGCTGTGGTCGTCCGCGAGCTTGTGGATAGCTGCGATAATAAGGGTAATGAAGTCGTAATGGTCAGTATTAGGATCAGGCGAGAAATGATGCGTACTTCTGTAGTGGCATTATGTTCATCGACATATTATCAGACTTATCAACTTTACCCTTTCCTTTCGTATCAAGGCCAAGAGCTTCACGTGTACAACTTAGTTTATTTGAGCTAGCACGTTTCCGGAGAGATGGTGTGCCGGCGTCTATTTTAGCGGACGCTTGTGGGAGGTTCGCTTTGCCTTGCTCGACAAGCTCTGCAAGACGTTGCTCATTGGCGGCGTCCGCGTCTACATCTAATGGGTCATCCTCGGGTTCACGTGCAACGAATGGTTGAAAGTCGCCAAGAATGCTCTTGTTTGCTTCCCGGACAAAGGTCTGGAGTTCTGAGGGGGGCGATATTTGCTTTGTTGCCGAGGACACCGGTGGTGGGCCGGGTATCGCAATGTTTGTGAAAGGAGATGGGTCTATGTACAATAAGGTGAGCGGGTCGGTATTAGTATAATAGTGTGCCACACATACCGAAGGAAGTAAATAACTCCCAATCAATTTCCTCCGGTCTCTGAGGTGGCTCATATTGGCTCAACTTGAAGGCAGGGTTATCAAGCTACGCAAAACGCGTCAAAAGATTTTTTTGTTTTTCAAAAGATTCGGCACCTCATTCTCTGCATTATCAACGAAGTCTTCTGGATCTGCAAGAGCGCGCTCTCGGAGACCGGCAAGCTTATGGAGGTCAGACTGGGTGCGGGCGAGAAGGTGGCGCTGAGAGTCCAGAAATGCATCAAGGGTGGCGAGACTGTGCTGATAAACGCGTGAGATTGCAATGAAGAAGACAAAGTACAGTAACACGGACGTTCGAGTTCGGGCGTCGCTCATCGAAGGGGTGGCGTGTTATTGGTGTGAACGCAATAAAGCTTTGCCACAGGGTATGGGAAAAGAGTATACTGTAGTGTTCACAGGCTGAGTGGAAGATCCAGGGTCAACCAAGGGTCAATAGTCCAACAACTTTAGACTGGGAAAATTCAAGAATTTAATGAGTGGCTGCAGTTAGCGCCCGTCGGCACTTGCCGTCTCCCACCGGACTTGCCAGCATTTCGACCATGTCCAAGTTCGACCCCCAAAAAGCTCAAAATCTCGTCGAAGTATACCCATTGCATCCCTTACTGGCACACCTGCTTACTGAACGGTCAGATAGAAAAACAATTCGCTGTTGTAGCTGTCGAACATGCCCAAGTGAATCTGCCTCTTAATTCTGCTGGGTTGTCTCGTTCGTTTAATAGTCTTGCTCCAGACGTACTGGAATCTCCTTGCCCATGTACAACCCACTCAACTGCGTCTAACAAAGTGGGTCCGGCCCTTTGTTCATATGCAATCCGAGAAAGCTGATTCACGTGGTCAAGGATTGACGACGAGATCTTCGAACATCTCTCTACCGCTTTCCCCGAGGCCGTTGAAGAACCATACTCAAAACTTCTCAACCTAGATGAAGAATGGATGAAAAGTGAAGGCGGGAAGCAGCGCTGGCGCGATTTCATGAACCAGTGAGCCAATACTTTTGCCACGTCAAGACTCGCGTACTAGTATTTATGGCCGCAAATAAAGGTATGAAAAGAAAGTCAAGGACTACAACTTTGGTTCCCTTATCCGTACGGATGCGAGAGACGAGTATGCACAACACAATTCCATTTTCGGTGAGTTGAATGTATTCAATTTAATTTGATAATTCTCACTTTCTCTTCGTCTCGCAGTGACGCGTATGCAATTCTACGCGATCGAAGTACGAACACACATGCATTTCATATGTCATCCACTCACGTTAACTCCTACTTCAGATCGCTCGTAACCGCCTTGGCCTGAACGACATTATCCACGAGAAAGCAAAGAAGGAAGCTGAGGCCGAGAAAGCGGAGAAGGAGAAGAAGGGAAAGGAAGGTGGCGAGAAAGAACGCAAAAAAGTGTAATTGTGTTTGACTTGAGGTATCATTTTGTATTTGGAGCTGTGACTGGGGCTGTTGTAACTCTGAATATGGATCAGGCGGCATAAGCCAGGAACATTAATACCCGGGATCCAAATGTGATGTCACGTGTGACTGTGCGCGTCCCTCATTGACTCACTCCTCGTGAAGTACTTTCTTGCTTTCTTACTGGCAGGTCAATATAATTCTCAGCTAATCTGCGTCAGCTCTCATTGAATTATTGACTTTCAAAGCCATAGAGTTATTTGTACTGCCATGGCTCTCAAAATACAAATCCGACGTGGCTCACGATAGCGCTGAGATTAATCATCGCCAGGTACAGTATAGGCTGGATTCAAGGCACCATTGATCAAAGTTCTGCACAAAATCTCCTCTATATACGACGTATCAATTAGTATGTAGAATTAGACATTCGAACGCGCTTTCTCTCGCAGCAGGGTCATCGCTGGTAACAGCACAGAAACTACAATGCAGATGAGCATAGAAGAGACTGCTGAGGCAGATACGCAAGTGAAAGTGTCATGATGAAGAGAAGAAAAAAATGGATTTGCAAATGTGCATGATGACGAGTCTGGGGTGTGAGTTGTGCTGATTGGAAGGTTGGATTGAACTGCCTACAGGGTTAAACACTGGTAACAAGTTGTCGGGTGGCGGCCAAAAAATTACCGGGCAAAGCGAATGCGGTTCCTTGGAGGCCCAGTCTGGGGACACCGCATAGCAAACCGTCAGTAGGCAGTGACAGGGTTGACAAGACAACTCAATAGTACAACAATATTACAGCTCGCTTTACTGTGAAATTCTAGGAAGTACAATCCAAATGTGTGTGAAATAAAGTTGATATAAGCACAATACAGTCAAACAGATCCGCCTCGTACTAACTCCGGCATCGTACATCCATGCGGCGGTCAGACCAACTTTATAATAATGATAAAATAACCTATCACCGCATCAGACTCGGACGTCAGTTTAATTTCACCCGCGTGATTGTGCTCACCATAAAATCCACAGAGTCTTGACAATATCGTTGTTATGCCACCAAGACCGCGTCTCCTGTTTCGTCCACAAGCACTAACCTTGTCGCTTTCAGCACACGATAATGAAGGGACGGCTTTTTCCCGGCAGGCCGCTCTCTTTCACTATCCTCCCACCGAAAGCAATCAAGTAGACTCCGTAATTTCATCGCGTACTGCGAGTCGTGATATATCTTGATGTACTCCCACGTCGCTTCCGCTTCGTCTCGTTCCTCCTCACCAGAATTATATTTCTTTGTCTGACGAACCTTTGCGTTTTCAGGTTTATTCGTTGAAGTTTTCCCTCTCGTTTCTCGTCTTCTCCACCGTGGAGGGGAGGAAAATAGGTAAGCGAGAGCAATTGGACCAAAATTGTTCGTTTCTCGTAATCGCAATAGAAATGTCCAAAATTGCGATATGGCTATCGATGTCCATTGTATAGCTCTCGGAGACGTCCCGTCCGGAGGAAACTGTTGAGGTGGAATGATATTATACAGCTGTGCAGGCGATGTCCCTTCGACTGGCGGACAGCCTCGCAAGGGCACTAGCCACGCCATACGTTCAAATAGCGTCATGAACGACGCCGATGGTAAAATGGCACGTGCGATGGGGAATTCCGGAATTTTTGCGATACCAGGGGGCGCGGGGCGTGCAGGGTCGGGTGATTCGTGGTAATGTGGCTATGGAGCGGTTGAAGGCTAGAGTGAGTGGTCGTCTCGTTGTGATGTGATCAACGTACGAAAGGAATGAGCTTAGATATTGACATTGATGAGAGTATGGGGGAAGCTGAACAAAGACGTTTGTTAGGATATCTATCCGAGTTAACGTCCACATCATCGGCAAAGTGCCGTGTGGATGGTAGTCCACGTTTCGAAGGACGAAGGTCGGGATGCATCAAAGCTTCCGTAAAATCCGTTTGCTCAAATTCTGGAAGTAGGGTAAGATTTATTATTTCCGATTCATCATCAAACGGGGAGTCCCAGTCTAGCAGTTCCGGCTCGCCATGCGATCTGAACTCAATGACCGGGGGTGCTTTCCCCCACACGAAACACACATGCGATGAGGTGGAAGCAGTTCCTTTAAAAATATATAGGCAATTGGATGGGTATTTCGGTGAGAAAAAACCCTGTGGTGCTCACCGAATGCAGGATCCGAAGGCAGGGGGGGAACAACAGAACGCCATCCAGATGTGCTTGATGTAGCCGCATCGACAAGACGCTGCGCGGAATCTAGGAGATATGTTTGTGATATGGGACTTGAATCTACGGCAAAATGATGCACCGTGATATCAAGAGACATCTAGACATGAAGGCGTGGTGCAAGTGGGCGCGCTCCCTAGCTGACAAATTATTTGTCACGTGACTGATTCAATAACATCAGTCTTTAAGACTTTCAGACTCGAGCTATAATATGCTTCGCCGAGCAGGGGGGTTCCCTCAGCCTTCCCAGGAGTGTTTTCTACTATCCAGTATAAAATATTCAGAGGTGCCATATATACTTATCACCTGTCTGTAGTCATGTCATACATTGCTTCCACATATTGCGATTATCTGAGTCGAGTAGACTGGTTACAAGTCTAATAATTATTTTTAGAATGGGGAATAGCATGTCATTTCACTGTAAAAAGAGTCCGACTTGCAATTTGAGATGGTTCAAGTTAGACCAGGAAATAAATCCAGCCTGAGAATGTCCAGGCATTCATGATCACTAAGTTATCTTTATGTAATTCTTACAATTAGATATGTTACTTGAACGAGAACATATTATTGCAGGGACTTGAGAGTGAGAGAAAAGGGATAAGAATTAAAATTATTCCACAACGGGGAATCGAACCCCGAGCTGCTGTGATCAAATTCAAATGAAAGACAGCGATGTTAGCCATTACACCATTATGGATGGAGGGACTTCATTGTATGAGACATAGCCTAATGTCATTGTCGTCATGGTATACTGAATTTAAGCTTTTCTTAGAGCAATGAAACGTTGCCGGGAAATGTGTGATGCCTGATCTCATCTCATCGTTGGCAGCAATGCACAAGCTAGACCCAATACACAGTTGTTTTAGTCGATTGGTTTAAAATTACACCTCACGCATTCCCCATTAATTCACAACAAATTGGAAGATAGGCACCATCTTTAGCATGTCGCCTGAAAAACCATTATCGTATCGCTGACTCACGTTCAACGATTGAAATCATCCCCACCATTGATTGCATTTGTGGAGTGGTGTGACGGAATTTTAACGGACTAGCACCTGGCAGAAATCGATTATGACATTCTCGCCTCCCCATCGCGTACAAATCCTACATATCAGGTCATAAATCTTTGGTACGTTCATTAGATTCCTGGTCATTCACATCAACTGGCTGGCTGGCACCGTCTTTTTCAATCTGAGCAGCCCATAAAGCAGCACCAACAGTTGAAGTGAATGTGAAAAAGATCGAAGCGAAGGGTATGAGATTCAGAGCCATAGCCGCTGTTCCGAAACTGTATACGCACAGGTGAGGATAAAAGAGGGAAGGGACGTAAAATGTGCATACGCAATATATCCCCCGCGTCGATGTTGTATCTCGCTATCCTTACGCTCCTGGTTGTATCCTTTGAGTTGAAAATAGCGAGAGTGATATCCCGGGCCCATTTTACGCCCTTGAGCGATTAGGAATGAGACAGTGCCTACGATTGGGATGAGGTTGAGTGGGAGAAATAGGAGGTATTCGATGAGCTGTGCGGGTGAAAATCTTTACAAATCCCAGTCACTCTCAACCTTTTAATGATCATGTTTTGTACGTACTTGTTTAACGGCTGCATGAGGCTCTTTCCAAGCCTGTTCATCCCATCTCGATTTTTTCCAGGTTTAATTTCTCTTCCCTTGCTGACGAGCAAGGCTTGCCCCTCGTCGACAAGAGTGGCATCAAATAGATCAGTGAGAGCACCCTGCAGTAGAAAGGCCTTTGCCAGCATGTTAACAATGGTTGTTGATTCGGAAAGAACGAGTGCGATCGCGTTGATGGGACCGAGTGGTCCATTGACCAAAGTGAGAATAGCGGCTTGGGGAAGGTAGGTAAGCAGGAACATAGGAAAAGTTACGCCAATGGTGAGCAGGACGCATGGCAGGATACGTGAGGCCACAGGAGGATAGAGGGACTGATGAGAAATGAGGTATATAACTCCAAGGGGAGGATAGAAGTACGTGCGTGAAGCTATTGCTTCACGGCATATCTTTGCGGAATGATATATTTGAGCTGTTATAATGTTCCCCAAAGACTTGGACATGCTGGTTTGGAGTGAAGGGTTCGGGTGATGAAGCCATGACGCTTGTCACCAACTCGTCACGTAAGCGCTCAATTTCAAGTTGACACAAACGTCGAGGTTTTAATATTATTACATTCTTGACGTCTCCAATTCCGGTTTTTCTCATTCTTCTTGTACGTGTAGTGAATCATGGGATGTGAGTAAGAAGGAAAAGGGTGAGCTATGATTTATTCAGTCACTCATGCCGTCGGAGCTGTCGTCCTCCTCTTCGTCCTCATCCTCATCTTCAAATAATCCTCCGAACCCAGCTGCTGTAACGTTCATTCTTCGTTCTTCCTCCAAAAAAGGCCCCTTAGCAAGGGGATGCAGCCGCAAGTTCTGCCTCACTAAATTAAACTCGAGGTCATTCTCACACTGCGGACGTTTATTAAGCTCTTCTTCAAACGTTTCGTCAAACGTGCCATCTCCAAGCGGGGATTGTTCCGAGATTGCAGTGAGAATGCAGTCAAGCGCGAAATCCGGAAGGCCGCCCTTCGAAAAGAAGAATTGAACGGCCTGGTGACCGAAAAAGTCGTAGCCACGATATCCACCTGCGAACATTGCCGTTCGCACTGCGGTAGGGCGGGGAATGATTGATTGGCGCATGGTGTGAGTGATGGCTTCGAAGGCAGATTGATACCCCCTGTAAAATGTTTTGTAGACCTGACTACGCAATTCGAAGGGGATAAAGTCGAGACCAATGTATAGATCGAAGCGATCCGCCGCCAGAGGTTCGCCGCGAACGAACTCATCAGACATGAATCCCATGTGGTCGTATGTGATCTCGCCTTCACCTATGAAAGGGCGTTAAATTGACGCAAATAGGGTGATACTTGCGTACACTCAATCCTGAACCTCATCCGTGGAGATAGCCAGCCCTCAAGACATTGCCCGCAAGTGCAGCCCCATTTACGCTTCGCTACATATTCTTCGTCGGTCAGTGTTGTATTATCAGGAAAGAGAATTCTCCTTATAGTGGCGGCACAAAGAAGACCACATGTATCGTATCCATCCCAGCACGACAACAACGTCTCTGAAAACTCGCGGGACAAAGTCATGTTCGCCATGCAAGCCTCCAAAGGAGTAAAGCCGTCCATATTATCACAACGGGTCAAATCGCTCCCACCGCCGAGATCTAAGAGTTTTCTGAGAGCGTGTATATTGCCCGTGCTGGCCGCGGCATAAACGGGCGTGAAGCCATGATCGTCCTGTTTATGAATGGCAGTAGGTTCAGTATTATATGCCACTTGTATTATGTGGGCAATCGATTCGTCGTTGGTGTCATTGATCGCGGATTGTAGGGATATTTGGCGTGTCTGAGTTCGACAATCTGGTCTCGCCTTGAGATCCTGTCGATGGCCGGCACATCCAGATCAACGCTCTGTGCCTCCAGACTTGTTTCAAATACTTGGGTACGATTCGGAGCGTCAGCATGCATTGGTAGGCCGCGTGAAGGGTGATCCGGATTGGGTGAGAAGGCAAAAAATGAGGTTCGGCCGACCCGTCGAAAATGATTCTGTATACGATTATTGTGGGGTTGTCGACAATGAGTGCTGGAAAGGGTTACCTTCCGGAAGAATCTGATCTGCGCCTCTTGAAGCTCTTCAAAGACACGCTGGGGTTGCGTGTGCCCAGCTGCCTTCAAGGTGACGTCAGTTCCGCTAGGGGAGGGCCAACACACAAGAAAACCATCATCGGGGAGGTGACCCGAGCTCAGGAGTTGCTGCAACATCCAGGACCCGACTCCACAACGACGAAACTACAAAGACGTAAATATTGCGGGGCCACCACAGACATGAGAAACAAAAAACCTTAAATTCGACACTCATGTCAACAATGTAGATTAATATTCCATAATCCATTTCGTCACCCCAACACCCACTACCTCGTAGATGTGGATTGTCGATCAATGTCCGCTTGAGGAAACCGAATTTGTTAAACATGGTGCGCGAGAACTCTGCAATCTCGTTCGAGTCCTCGTCGAAAACCTGAAGAAACCGACTTCCCAAACGACACGGCTCCCTGTTGATTCTCAACCCACCCAACCATGCGATTTTGCCGTGAGTAGGATGTGAAACGGAGAGGTTGACGAAACTCTGAACGGAAGGATATCTAAAATGTGGTTTTAAGCGAATATTAGCAGTGCATTCGCTCAGCTGAAGTTCCATGGTGGATGCAAGGAGGAGCTATTCATACTCAGTGAAACAAAACTTCAGGAGGTACGCCTTTGTTTGGCTTTGTTCTGTTGATGCAATGGTTTCGAAAACTGCTTTTAATAACAGCGGATAATCTATAAAATGTTGAAAAAAAACAAAGCTCCGCTGATTTTATTTCCTGAAACTGTAATTTGCTTGTAAGTAGTTCAGGTGATGGGGCGGTGGCTGTTGTCCACCCACATCCGTCTACATCAGCCCACATCGCCATTTCTATACGGGATTCCTTATACGACATACATAACGTTCCAATATAACAGTCTGAGCCCTTTGTATCGGGTTCCTCGTCTTCTTCAAAATTGTTGGCCCACCGGGCAAAGAAAGTCATTCACGCTAGGTATGGTGACAGATATACAATACATCTTTAGCCTACTCCTAATCACCTGAAAGGTCAACCGGTCAAGTTTTGATGAAATGGTTGCGCCATCTTTCAATTAAGGTGTCTGGAGGAGCCACATCCACCTCGACATCCCTCCCCATCCCTCTATCAAACAAACGTTACCCGGTATTAAGCCATCTCCCGAAGGCTCCAGCCATCCGAAGTATCCGTGTGCGTCCTCATGTATTTCACCGTCATTCATCGTCCTAATATCGGGCATCAGTTCAAGCGCACTACCCCAGGTTCAGTGTCACATCTAGCCTTCGCCCCCTCCTCCAGCCCCGTTCTCGATTCTTCTCATCCCTTGGCACATCTAAGTACACGTAAACTATTACACGCCGTACCATGTTATCAATGCACCCTGTTCGAAGCACACGCGTACCCTCATGCTGTCCTGAGGCAATGGGAACGTCCGGAAATTATGAAGCAGCTAAAAGCTCATGGCGACCGTGATACGCTAGACCAGACTGTATATAAGGCAACCGGGAATGACCAAGGCTTTGAGGAAGACCGCGACAGCGATCGTGCTACCCATGCACTGCCCATGTCGATCATGATTCTCGTACCCAAAAAGCCTGTGCATAGGTCTGGGATTGTACGCTCTAAAATCAAGTTACGGATTAAGGAAGCGCTTAGCCTCGTTGCGATTCGTGGAGCGGTTGCGCCCTGCAACGACAAGGCGGACATTGTATTGAGGACTCCTGAGGGAATCTCGAATAAGGACTGTGAAGCCAGCATGATCTTACAAGGCGCGTCATACTTTTCCATGATAGAGTGATAGTTAATTATTAACTTGTGTAGGTTGGACCTACGTGATCCGCCCATCTCTGGAAGCTTATCGCATCCCTTGGCCACACCTTTTGAAACATGTGCGAGAGGCTCTATTGTCAATAAAAACGAAAGCAACAGAGTTAGAAAACCAGTGGGCTGTCCCGAATCGTCATAATGCGCCGCATAATCTTCGAGCCGATTTGTTCCATAATCAACGCGGAGACGGTCGGTTTCCTCATGCA